AATCAAAATAATATTCAAAGTTGGAATCTCGATAAAATATGGTTGTATAAAATATCGGTATCTGCTCAAATTCGGAGGAGGGGAGGAGCAAAAAGAAATAATAATAAAATAAACAAAAAAGAAAAAGCCGATACCAATAATCGGCTAAAAGGCTGATATGCTGATATTAATATCAGTATTGGTTATCTATAAGAGAACCATTTTCTAAGGAAAACTTTTCTATTCGTGTAAAGAATTTATAATTTTGAAAAAAGCCCATTCAACACACATTATTAATGAAGTTCCATAATTATAATAAATAATTAATTAGTTTGTGCTATAGGAAAATGTCTCTTTTATTAAGCAATAAGCCTCAACTGTCCATAAAATAATGCTCTGTTAGAAAACTGTAACCATGTAAAAATTATTTACTTGTCGTTAATGGCACCAACCGATAGATGTTGCCATCTGGTCGGACCAAATTGTAATTATTGGTTAATAAACTCTGAACACACAAAAACAATATATATATTATATTTTTCAATAGACTTTTTATATAAGATTTCCAAAGAGATAATTAACATACAAGTGATAAAAATTTAAATAAGTATTAATAGTTTATATTATCATTTGACAACTAATATTATACTCGTTTTACCTCTAATTAAATTAATATGAGATGCGCTATTTTCACATGGTAATGTCGAGCAAAGATAAAAATCCAACTTTAAGATCTAGGAGTCTCAATACCACAAAGAGTTCAACTATCAAGAAAAGTGCTAAACGCTCTAAAATAAAATACCCCGCCAGCTACACCAGAGACCTCAGTAGACGAAGTCGAAAATTAATCTGGCACATCAACACAAAATATGTCAACACAAGCTAAGCCAATACAAGGAACGTTAGAAGAATTGCCCTTTTTTACAGCTAATCCATTCCAAGTGCTGTCAAACATACAGAATGAACAAGTGGAAGCAGTACCCACCCCTTGTGAACCTAAACCTCCACCAATATTTGTTAGAAATATAAAAAATTTTCAGTTAATGTGTCTACAATTAAATAATATAGTGGGCTCAGGTGAATATTTATGCCAAAGCCGCACTAATGACACGAAATTAATGCCTGACATTCCAGATACGTACAGAAAAATTGTCAAGTATTTATCTGACATTAAGGCGGATTATCATACATATCACCTGCGCCAAGAGAGTGCTCAGGATGGTGATCAGGAGATTACACCCATCAACACCGCTGGATGCCATTAAAGAAGAACTAACTGAGATGGGATTCCATGTTCGACAAATAGTGAATATCTTTAAAGAAGATAAAGAACAACCTAATGTAAAAAATTTAGAGTCCTAATACAAGGGGAATTATCTGAAGCCTTCAAAGTTTGAACGTGCTTACGGCAGGGAAATGGACTGTGACTGCTGTTGTTCAACTTACCCTCGGAGAAGATGATAAGAACATCACAGGAAAATGGAGGAGTCCAGGTCGGAATGAATCATAAAATCCTTGGATAAAATCATATGATATAGCTGTCCTTGGAAATAATCAAGAGGCCATTGAGAAACTCACTAAGACTGTGATATGAGAGGCAGAGCAGATCGGCCTACTAGTAATGAAGACGAAACAAAATATATGATAATAAGCTGAAAATTCCACCCTAATGATAATATCTGCGTAAAAAGAAAATCATTTCTGAGTATAGAAAAATTCAAATACCTCAGCTCCATAATAATCTCAATGATTGACCAATGGTCAGAAATACATCAGTATATAACTAGTGCATACAGAGCTTTCTTCTCCCTTTCAAAGTTATAGAAATTCTGAAAAATCTCAAATTAAGAGTGTTATGATAAAGTCAGTTCTAATATATGGCTGTATGGTCTGGACAGTAACCAGCGCTCTAGAAAAAAGTATTGAAAGATTCGAGAGAAAAATCCTCCGCACCATAACCGCAGCGATCTGGGTTCAGAGTACTAACATATGGAGAAGAAAGACCATTAAAGAGCTGCTTACAGAAACTGGACTATCAATATCCCATGATATGATGGCACGGAGGTTAAGATGGGGGGTCCATGTAGCTCGTAGCAATCCATCTGGAAACCTCTAAGTAGCAATGAATGTCTCAATAGAAGGCAAAAGACTATGTGGAAGGCCAAAAAGCAGATGGATAGATAGAATCAATAAAGATGCAATAGAGCTTCGTGCAGATAACTGGAAAGAAATAGCCCAAGACAGGCAGAGATAGAGCAGACTTGTTAAGACATCAAAAGATCTACATGGTCTGTTGTGCCAACAGAAAAATAAATAAATTATCTCAAGCAGAAAAGCTTATTTATTTGAAACTGCTAATTTCAGAAACTACCAGATCATTTGTAAGGATTCTTTTAAAGTTAGGTATTTTTGTAATGAGGAAAGCTTTCTTAGACTTTATGACATCACAGGACCAATAGCAACTGTAGTCATAATTTCAATCTGGAATAATTTTTTTTATGTACTTACAGTACATGTAATAGACCATTTGAAATAGGCGTTGAATGAACCACAGGCACAACTAGTATACTAATATAATGACTTGAAAACATTGTCAATCCTAATTGATGACAATCAAAATTGTGTTGTCGTATTGTTATGTTAGTTTTATTCCTGTTGTTTGACCATTGATTACAATATTAACTCTTTTCCAAAAGAAGCATTTTCATTATTTGTATTGTGCATATGTTGTAACATTTCTGGATTTATTTTTTGGTAGAATCAATCCTTATTTTATCTATTTTGAGCATATTAACTGCCTTGTGTTGTTTTTCCAAATAAGTAGATGATTATAAACATTTATGGCGTGTTAATAGCTGAGTTAATAAGGACTTTTTAAATATTCTTGCACTCAATTAGGAGTGATGGTGTTCTGTTTACTTCATAAAAAATATTAAGTATTGTTAAATAATAATTAATAAAAACACAATTTATTTGGAATTGACCAAATAACAAGAAGCTTTTATTTTCAGAACAAATATTAAATTTACTTACGTATGATTCACAATAAAACACACACTTTTCTAAAATAACCTAACCAAATTCAGTCACTGCCATCCAATTATATCTCATTAACAAGTATGTTATAATGTTTTAAGTCAATTTTTGATAGCACCTTTTAAGAAATTCTGAGATTTTTTTGGGTTTCCCCCATTAAAAATAATAATTATATTTCATAGAATTATACCCTTATGTACTTTTTCAAGCCAAAATAAAGTTCAGTTTTATTTGAGAATTAATATCACTTAATATTAAATTCAGTTTTCAAATTTTATTTTGTTTCATTCTTTAGTATTGAATATATTTTTGTATTATAGAGAAAGGTGGTAAATAATCGGCAGGCAGGAGCTGCTCAATCTCGACGCGAGCTGACTACTCCTCACTTGCTTGTAATTATATTTATTTTTTTAATGCAGTTATAAATACCCTTTACCATTTATTGATAATCGATAAAGTAACGTTTCTTTATAAAAATGAATAATCATTGTGTTGTCAAGTAGTTTGATATTTGTCATTGTGCTGAAAATTATCGTTAATTTAATAGCCCAGATCGTTGCCACAATATGATTTATTGAAGGAATTATAATTATTTCAAAATAGTGTTGTTTAAGTCAGTTTTGAGTACCCTGAAAGTATGTAGCTTGTTTTTTTTCTTGTTGGCTTTACAGACCTTTTAGATATTTCATCCCATTAATATATTAAAAACTATAATTCATAATTGGTAAATGGTTGACTGTCGTGGATAATGAAGAGAAGAATAGTTGGGGTGGTCAGTCAAAAAGGAAGGCAAAAATAAATGATAATATTTATTTTTACATAAGCCACCTCCATCCTTCTATCTACCTCCATCCTTCAATAACAAGGTTATTACATCTTCACCTTAAGAGCAGTCAGGTTGTTATAATTTCTCTTACTTATTCTCTTTCTTATTTCAACCTTCTCAGTTTCTCTCCTCCTTCCTTTCATTCCTTTTCTCTGTTTTAACTCTTTATTATTTCATACTTTGTCTGTACATATTGATAGACTTTACAACATCTCAATTTTTTATCTAAATATTCTATTCACTCTATCTTAATTTTACTATTTATTTCCATTTCTTATATAACTTCATATTTTTCTGTTTTACATTTTATTCTAAGATTCCCTTTACAATACTTATGTCACCTTTTTTGACTATGTTTACTTCATCATTCCACACTTTGTACCTGTTATTATTATTTGTCTCTTGTTCTTACTATTGTCATTATTCTAACAACTTCATTTTACTGTAATTTTTATATTTCTCATACCTTGTTATCTGGTTCTTTTCTTAGCCCTGATGATGGCTTGAACTTCAGGTCGAAATATCGGCTTATGTAAAAATAAATATTATCATTTATTTTTGCCTTCTTTTTTGACTGACCGCCCCAACTATTCTTCTCTTCAAAAACTATAATTATTTTAATTTTTTTGTTGTTAATATTTTAACCTGGAGTAAGACTTGACAATAATTTCATCATTCAACCTTATCACACTGCTAAATAGACCTTTCCCTCTGTTAAATAGTTAAAAGTAATAACCCGCTTATAGGAAATATTCTTAGACATGCAAACTTTTATAATGTAATATTGTTTAAAAAAGTATCAACTTAATCTTATAATCTGGAATTGTATATTAAATTAAACAATCTTCACATAAAGTACAGGCTCATTTGCAACCTCATCAGAATAAGACATTGATATTCAAGATGTGGGCAATATAAGAATAATAATGAAAAAAAAAATAACAAAGGAGGATACTGTCAACTGTAATAATGATAGGGGAAGAAACATATGGAAAAATCTTTGTAAATAAGGTAGAATAATTTTACAGTGATGTAATGGCCTTAATTTTTGGCCCAAATCATATAACATAACAAATAAAATACATTCTCTTAACTGAAAATAAAAATAATGATATTTTTCTACAGTGGTACAGGTAATATCCTAATCTAAGACACTTGTATGCGGTGGTTCAGACGATTCAAAAGTGGTGATTTTGACTTGGAAGACAAAGAACATCCAGGTCATCTGAAAAAATTTCAATATGTCAAAATGCAAGCATTGTTGGTCCAAGGTGATCCGCAAACTCAACTACTAATGGCAGAAATGTTAAATGTTGGTCGCCATACCATTTGGGAATGTCTGCATGGCATGGGAAAGATCCAGAAAGCAGGAAAATGAGCACCATATCAGTTGAACAACAGACCGATGAAAAAGCGAAAAACGGTGTGTGAAGCTTTGCTTTCTTGCAAAAAATGATGTGGGAAGTTTTGCTGGTACTTGTATAATAGCGTGTAGTGCCAAAACCTCCCTTGTTATCTAATCTTATTTCATATAACCTCTCTTATCTCCTCTAACCTAAGTTATACCTTTGTTTATTTTTGTTCGTTGTGTAAGCTGTGGGTTATTCTTATTTAATTATGGTTGTTGTCACATTGTGGGAATTGCCGTCCTCAGAAGAAGAGGCTATCAAATATTTTCAAGACGCCGAGATATTTGCAAAGGTGAAATATTGTGATGAAGGTCATCAAATGAAGTTCGATGGGAAGATTAAATGGAGATGCTTTCGTAGTTGTAACAAAACCGCTTTTATAAGTGGTATAGGGAAAGGAACATGGTTAGAGGGATTGAGGGTTCTTTTTTAATGGATTTAAAGTTCATATGTGTACATATGCTGTTTAAGTGTTTTTTTATTATTTCATTTATTTTTGCCTATTTTTATTATTTTATTTATTTTTATATATATGTTGCAATGTTTTTTAATTATATATGTATAATATTTTGGTCTATTTAATATATATCTTGTAAAATAAAAGTATTTTTTTATTATTACATTTGTTTTTGTTTTTACACCTGGGGGATAGGGCCAAAGAAACAGCACTAACATTTTTAAATGCAGTCTGGAAAACACATATTCCGTGTGAATGGAGGAAAGCAGAGGTGGTACAAATCTTGAAGAGAGGAAAAAAAGGAGATATACCGGAAAATTTCAGACCCATTGCATTAACAAGTACTTTCTCCAAGCTCTACGAGAGAATTGTTGCAGAAAGACTTCAGAAATACATAGAAAAATATGATCTAATATCTTCTAACCAAGCTGCATTCAAGAAAAACCGGAACACTATTGAACAAGTAGCTCATCTAACACCAGAAATAAAAAACGGCTTCCAAAGAAAACAGAGCACCCTGCCAATATTCATAGATTTTAAGACGGCATATGATAGAGTTTGGAGAAAGAAGCTGGTGAGTAAGGTTGTTGACAAGGTAGTCACAGGATATCTGCTCAAGACTATATCTTCTTTCTTACATCAAAGGCTTATAAGGGTGTGATATGAAAACTTTGTCTCGACAAATCGCCAAACAAAACAAGGCCTCCCACAAGGTTTGGTGCTGATTCCCTTCCTGTTTAACATCATGATTGATGATATCACGGAACTCACTGAAACTATTCCGGGTACAAATGCTCTGCTGTACGCAGATGACGTCGTCATTTGGGCAACAAGTAGTGACTTTAAAGGGCTAGAAAAGCACATGCAACAGGTACTGAAATTACTAGTGAAGTGGGCCAATGAAAACGAGATGATCGTTAATTCCGAAAAGAGGGAATTCCAACTTTTTACCCTCTCTACCAAATCACACGAGATAATTTTGAACCATAATAATGAGGAGCTCAAATGCACAGAAGAAGCTACATATCTAGGAGTGAAACTCGATAAAAGACTCTCTTGGAATAAACATATTGAAAAACAAATAGAACAGGCTTCAACACGACTTTCATTAATACAGAGGTTACTTGGCTCAAAATGGGGAGCAACAGGGGATGTTATGGCTCTTGCTTACAAAACATATGTCCACCCTGTTATTGAATATGGCGTAGAACTTGTTATCACTGTTTCGGATGCGATATTACACAAGCTTGACATAATCCAGAATCAAGCCCTTAGACTCGTGACAGGAGGGAGCAGATCAACCCCAATATCTGCGCTTGAATTACAAACAGGCATAGTACCTCTTGAGACACACCGGGAGCTACTGGCCATTAAGCTCTATGAAAGGCTAAAACATCTTAAGATCAGCCACTGGAGTACCTATGAACCCGCACTTGAATGCCTTAAAACACAAATTACTTTTACTAAGGCAGTGGAAGGTTTAATTCAAAGAAGAGGACTAGAATTAGCTGAAAGGGAGCCTCTCCCGTTATTGACACAAGTTCCATTCACCAGCCAATTTGTTGTCCACTGTGATCTTCAGAATGTTTCTAAGGATACAACACCAATTTACGAACAAAAGGCTATAACCCTAGAAACCATCAGAAAACGATTCCCAGAGACAGAATGGCTCTATGTATATACTGATGGTTCTCCACTGGAAGCACACAAACATGCCGGAGCTGGAGTTTATTCAAAGGAGGTTCAACTTGCCGCCACCGTCGGAAAGGTAGCCACAAACTTTGAAGGGGAAGTGAAAGCCATTCTCTTAGGCCTAGAGAGATTAATTGAACGGAAAGATAAGAAAGTTGCTTTCTTTGTTGACTCACAGGCAGCCATTTCTTCTATCCAAAGTGGATATAATATAAATCCAAATGTTCCTAAATGCCATCTATATTTGAACCAATTAAATGAAAATGTGAACAGAAGTCACTGTCCAGTGGATACCAGGCCATTGCGGGCTCTACGGAAATGATGAAGCTGACAAACTGGCCAGAATAGGTTCTGGAATAATCCAACCAGATATTCCTCTAGGCATAGATTCAACGAAAAGAATTATATACAACAGACCCTCCAAAGTTCACTGAAGGAAAAATATGCACAAACAATTGAAGGGAAACGATAGAGTGGATTGCTCGAAGAAAGTGACAGGATCCCTAGAGGCCTCCCTACAGGGCAAGCCGTTGCATGCTTTACAATGCTAACAGGCCATGATTTCCTTCAGAAGCACCTCTGCGCATCGGTATAAAAGATAGCCCGACATGCCCTCTATGTTCCTTAGATATGATGACAGAAAACATCTTGATATATGCCCTGCATTACAGGACATAAGATGTTCCTTTAATGAAATGGATAGCCCTTATGCTCGGAGAGCAAACTTATATTGGACTGCAAGAGCACGCATGGCTGAAGAAGCAGGCATTACTTAGGCGTAGGAGAAAAAAAAAAAAAATGTTTTTGTTTTCGTTCACAATTTCAGTAATATCAATACAATACAATAAATATGAATATGAAGATTTAATAATATGAATATAATACAATAAATATGAATACTAAGATATTATCAGAGTTATCAGTGTTAAGGTTATAAACATTGGCAGATAGCAGTCGGACCCCCCCTATTATACAAGTACTGTTTTGCTTTCTTGCCAAAAATGGTGTGGAAAGTTTTGTCCTTTCTTGCAAAAAATGGTGTGGGAAGTTTTGCTTTCTTGCATAAAAGAAAGACTTTTTCACATCGGGTCATACCTGGAGATGAAAAATTGATATACTTTGAGAAACTAAAACTATGAAAATCATGGATTGACACAAGACAATCATCATCGACCAAAAGACTGAATGCTTTAAACAAAGACAATGCAGTGCTTCTAAAATCATAAGCTTCTAAAACCTGTGAAACTGATGATATCGTGACTAATGAAGGTCTATTGAGGTGTAATTATTGCTAGTTGAAAACTTTTAAAAAAGAATTGGAGAAAACTTTTTTGAACAGTTACAGGAGTTTAAATATCTTGGGGCCAATATAAATGAAAAGAATGACGTATAAGCAGAAATAAGGTCACACATGATGGCCGGAAACAGATGTTGCTGGGTGCTTGGAAAAGTTCTCAGGGCAAAGGTGTTGCCCTGGCAGTTAAAGAAGAACTTATATGTTAGTGTTATTAGATCAGTGGTGATATATGGAAGTGAGACATAGCTCCTCACCTGGAAGTCAGAACAGTGCTGAACGTGTGGGAGAGGAAAGTCCTGAGAAGGATTTTTGGCCCCTTTAGAGAGGGAGATTAGTGGAGGCAGAGAAACAATTATGAGCTCCATGGTCTATACAAGGCCCTGGGTATTGTCACCTGCATCAAGAAGAGTGTAATTAGATTGCTGGGGCATTTGCAGAGGGTGGAGGACGAAGAAGATGGTGTCCCAGATTGTGGTGGCCGGAGGATGTGGAGGAGGGCCTGAGGACACTTGGAGTCCGAATGTGGAGAAGAGCAGCTTTGGGCAGGGGTGAATGGCGGAGAATTGTGGAGGAGGCTAAGGTTTCACAAGAACCGTAGTGCCATCAAAAGTATTGATTAAAAAGCGACCAGAATAGGCTACATTTTCATTGACGTCTTACTTACTCTCCATGAAACATTTCAACGATTATGGTGATATTGAAAAATGGCTTGATTGATAATTGGACCACCTCAAAAGATGTATTTTTTTTTTCAGATAGGGCATTCACAAATTATGTGGGAAATGTGTAATTAGCGATTGCGTATACTTTGATTAAACCATTTTTTACCTTTCTTCCAATTTAAACTTCTTTTTTTTAAAGATAAAAATAAGAACTTTTAACTACCACAGCTGGTTCATTACTAGAAGAGTACCAGTGGATCTCGCTGAAGTGAGGCCGTTGCACAGTTTAGGATGAAAACTGGACATGACTGTCTCCAAAACCATCTAAACCATATAGGAGTTCTCGAATCAGCAATATGTCCACTGTGCTGACAAGGATTCATGACTGCTCTGCATCTATCGACTTGACTTGTCCCGGACAAGAGGACATTAGAAACGAAGCCAGGACAGAAGATGAAATTTACTGGGCTGCTAGACATTGCATGGCCGAAAGAGCTCTAGACAATCAAGGCATCAGATCAAAAAAACTAGTAAAAGAGATATAATGAGATTGTATTTAATGCTAAATAGAAGGGAAAAGGAGTTTTGGACTGGATGGGTGGGTATAAAGTGCTGCAAGAATCGTCTTCTGATAGACAAGTGGCTCAACGTTTTGATGGAGAGCAATCTCTCTCTGCTAATTACTATGGAAAACTTGCCATTATTAAGAAATACAGATGTGTTTCGAAGAAAAAAAAGATTTGAGTCCAATTTTACCTTTTCTGACTTATTGTATTGGGTATGAGAGAAGGAGGTGTACCAGAGAGACTACTATGTAGTGAAAAGGTAGAAGAGAATGGTTGGTGAACTGAAGATAAAAATAAGAGTAAGCAGTGTGCAAACTTAAGATAATAATATAAATTGTTTTACTTACAAGTGGTGAGATGTTATGCAGACGTGGTAACTTCCCACTACTGTAAACACCCATATTAGTTTAAAAGTTTGAAAGTCAAATAAATAAAAACTGGTGTTGCAAAAATGATTTTTAAGTTGTTGCAAGATATTAACAAGGGAATGGGATTGGGTAATGTGACATCTGAAGGAAACAAAAAAAGTACTTGTTACTGTGGTCAGTATAAATCACCTCAACTCAACATAAAGGAGCACTGAAGTTGACTAGAAAATGAGAAAGTAAGGCTGAATAATATCAGTATTATTCAGTGAAGGGTGATGTAATGTTCATTTCCACTGTGATAATCCCAGTCCACTACCTTGATTTGCCATCTTTACTACAATTTAAAGTATTTCTATTACTATATTTTTAATTCTGAGGTTTTCAGAAAAATAAAGAAGACAAGGAAATTAACTACCAGGTCTTATATTTTAACTTTGTTTCTCAAGTTTTTATTTTTTATTGATATCTTCCTTATTAATTTTTTCTCCCTTTTACCTCCTATTTGTCCATTGCTGCCATACAGGATCACTCTACAGAAATATCCAACCTATTCTAACCAGAGTATGAAGGTTGAGGTTCATTCGATTGATCCAATATGAAATCAATTTAAACCCGTTCAGGTCGGATTGGCACTAGCGCCGTTTGGTGTTGGCTGTTTGGGTGTTGATACCTCAACACTCTTGGCCATCATGGTCTCTTCCTTATTAAGTTATTGTTAGGTGAATACGCATGACTGATTATTGATTGATTATTATTGATTTAGTAACATATTTTTCTTTGCTGAATATTACTATAAAATTAAGTTTCATGTTAGCTTGGAAGTGTGATAAAAACTAAGGAATTGTAAAAATGTTTCATGATTTTCTTATTATTCAAGATCAAGTCATTAAGTTGAAGTTTTCAATTTTTTTTTCATTTTATCCAAATAAAATGTCTTTTAATTTAACTCTGGTATTATCTTAACTTATGCAAAGTAATTGGTCCTTCTTAGGATTAATAAGTTTCTTATTACCCTAATAGAAATAGAAATTTTATATATATTTTTTATTTCAAATAAGCATTAGATACAAAAATATTGATATTCACTTAGATACATTGTTCACTGAAATGTTAAATTGTTTATTTTAACATTAAAGGATTAAGGTGAAGACATTTGAAATAAGATGAAATGAATAGGATGTTTTCCATTTTAGCTGATGGATCTTATGCAACAGTAGTTAGATATTAGTTTATATTATAATTTTAATAATTTCCCCAACTTTCTAGATTTCCTTTTAGTATTAAATAAAGTAAATGATAAGTTTCACAGGTGTTGAATTTTAGTATGATATGTTATTAATCTAGTTACTTTTTTGTATGTGAAAAGGTTGGTAGAAGGAGCATGGAGTTCAGCAATGTTGAAAAATCAACACGTGAGAGTGTGAGCTTAAGAAGGGACACAGCTGCTGCTGCTGCATTGCTTGATTCACCACGACATTCCACCTCAGATGAAACAGTTTTACCTGGTAAGTACATTATATCAACCAGGTTATAGCTTTAGGAAAGTAATGGTTTCTTGAATAATCCTAGTACCAATAAATGTGGAATGATTTTTCTATTTATATTTATGGAACTCTACTTTCCTTTAGTCTGTTACAAATACATACTCTAACTCACTATTTTCTTATCAACTCACTGTAGCTAACCCCAATACTCTATTAACGTTTCTCTTAAAATTGTTTCTTATACTAGAGATATTTCATTGGTAAAGATAGTACTTTATTTAGTAACAAAACTGTATATATATGTAGGGACGAGCTCTCGTGTCATGGAGACGAAGATACGAATAGTGTATTGGGTTAAAAGCTATGAAAATGTCAATAACAATTTATCAATTTCTTAAGTTCTGAGGTGTTATTTAAAAATATTGTGATTAGAATTTAACTTAATCTTGCTTCATACAAACAAGAAATATGCATTCCTGTGCTCTATTTTATAGTTACTCCTAATATATATTTTTTTATTGTACTAGTACTATAAAAGTTGTCAACTAAAAATGTTTTAAAAATTGCTATTATATATATTGTTATGTAAGAGATGTATCTATCTGCATTCCATGTTTGTATTATTATTTTTTCTGTTTGGTTATGTATATATCATTGTGTTAATACTTGTATTAAGGAATTTAAAAAAATGTGCAATCTTTTTTTCTTTAATTAAACTTTTAAAATTTATTATACAAAGATTATAGTCCACCTACAAAACAAGATTTATAGGTTTATTTTGTTGACTTGTTTTTGTTGTGCTTTAGTTGTGTTTAATTTTTAGATTTTATTTATTTATTTTTTATTTGATGGATTTGTTTTTACTTAAATAATTAATAACTTATGGTCCAATATTGTAGACTATATTTAATCACAAAATATTATGTTTGTCATTATATGCTAATATTTCATCATTTATGATAGTGTTGAAATGAGTTTTCATTTAGTCATTTTGTTGGTTCTTATATTTATTTTTTGTTACATTCTTTATATATTATTTTGCATGATGTGTACATTACATATCATTTTGTTTAGTTAGATTATAGATTTAAGAAAATATTTTTATTTAAAAAGTATGTAAGTTTTTTGTATTATTTGGCTCTGTGCATGATAACTCAATTGAAGCACTATTTCATATCTTACTTTGAGCTGATATTGCACGGTTATTTAAAATTGCATGTAAACAATAATTTATATTTTCTTGAAAAAATGTTATATTATTGAGACTGGTTACCTGAGCACGCAGTTTTAATTATGCATGTTGTTTTAAAAACATCTTGAAATGCCTGTTGCAGGCTCATATTTATATTTTAAATGATCTGTAGAAGGCCATGAAAAATATATATAGTTAAACACATATGCACCCATATTTTTTATTTAGTTAAATACCTTTCTCTATATAGGTATTATCGAAATAAATAAGTATTATTTTAAATTTTGGCCAACATCGAATCTATGTTGTTGCAAATTGAATCCAAGCCGACTTTAGTTAGCTTTTTCTTTTTCTGATTTTCGATTACTAGTATGACTTTTTGAGGAAAATTAGATCCCCAATAAATTTTAGTGTTAATCACTAAATCACTAGTGTTAATCAGATTGTTATTGTTTTCATACTAATTAACATATGCTCACCTTTTTTATTATAGCACCTCTGGAGTTATTTTTCTAAAGTATTTATTATTCATTTACTAGTAAATCCGTCTTCTCTATCCTTTAACAAATATTTTTCCCAAATAACCTTATTTGAGGATAAATTTCTACTCCAAGTGGGATAGTAAATGAAAGTTTTGTGATAACGCATTACTTTTTCTTTTATTTTATTATTGCGCAATCTTGGTTATTTTTATAATGTTTCTATATCAGTTATTATATTAAGACATATAGTTCTTTTGTGTAGTAAGAATGTTTTTATTACTGAGGATTGTTAAGATATTTTGGAATTTCTTCATTAATTTTCAGTTTTTAAGACACATATGTTTTCATTTGAATTTCTACTTTTATATAGACCCCATTGCTTCTATTTTGTCATTTTTATTAACATAAATTTTCAACTAATCAAAATTGGCTTATGAATCTCTGAGATTTTAGTGTTATTATCACCACTGACGATTTCAAATTTTTCCTCATCTTAGCTAAAAGAAATTAGATTTTTCTTAGTTTATTAAAATTACAATCAACATAAAATAAGGCCTCATTTACTAGTTTTGGTCATGAATGACAATGTTATATCTGTTTATGACCATAACCAGTTATGGTCAATGTATAATGTATTGTGGTCACTGGTTGTGAGGACATTTTTCTTTTGTCAAGGTGCTTTTGGTAGGATTTAACTTTTTTTTTTTCAGTAAATATTTTAATAGATATGCCGAAAAAGAACATATATAAAATGAAGAGAATTCACAAATTCAAAAGATGAAATTTTCAAAGGATATCTGTAAAATATATAACATTAAAGTATGCATTTGTAATATTGATATTTATAATTAATTTGATAGATAATCATGGCCCAAGTTGTCAACCGGAAGCAGGCTACTGTATCTCTTCTTGGTAGGTCAGCTGTGATCTGGTTTTCTTTCAAACACTAGTAATGTTTCTCTTCTACCTAATCTATGTGTGTTTTTCTTGTTTCCTCCTTCACAACTATCCTTAACATTCGCCGAATCGAGTTGAAGGTTTTGAATGGACTGGTTGAGGCCATTTTGCTCCTCACCAGCTTCTTCGTTTCCTGAAATCCCGCAATGGCTTGGAACCCACTGTAGGATCACATTAGTGCCCCCGAGTGTCAGGTCATAGAAGAGGGATTTGCACTCCAAGACAGAATTTGATAGATACTCATTCATGCTAGTAACAGGACTCTGGTCTTGCATTCCAGACAATGTTCTTAAGGATATGAGGATAGCTCAGATCTCACTGTCGAAACTTGTACCATCCTTACCCAGTGCAGCGTGTAATTGGAATTCCTTTGAGTAAACCTCTGCTCCAGCATTTTTATTTGCTAATTCAGCTGATCCATCGGTATAAATTTAAATTCAATCCTGAAGGAGGGTACTTCTGAACTATAGTTAACGGTGCTATTGCTTTTATCTCATAGTGATACTTTCTGTTACTTTCTTATCCACTTTATGGAGGAGTTGTAGCTCTGCCACGTGCATGATAGTGGATTGGGAATTGTGCCTTTATAAATGGTTCCCTCTCTTCGATGGCAAGCCCTCCTTCAAGTAAAGCCTTGGCCTTCAGCATGAAGGATTCTTGTGTCTTGGGCCATTGAGTTGGGATTATGTAATTTTTCCAAAACTCTGAATCCATTCCCATTCGCTCGTGAAGGCATTTGGCAGTTTGCTTACCCCATTTAGAAAGGAGTTTTTTGTGGTTTACAGATCTGTAGTTTCAACAGGAGTTGAGTGATTAAACACCCAAGATTAAACACAGGACATTGTTCTGCTGTCCAGTTTCTTTAAGGGTGTATTAGCCGCAGTATAGATGACCTCAGAACCACATTTCAGGATATAAACGTACATACATTTTATATTTAAGTCCATCCATCATATCCTGAGTGACTATCCATGTCTTCCTCTGAGGCCTTTTAGGAGCTTAAGTCTGTCTTTTCCACCATCTCTTCAGTTTGTGTGCATACGTTCTTGGTATGGGCACATTATTATATATGATTCCCAGCTCTGCAGTCATCTCCACAAGATAGGTTTGGCTGAGGATCCTAGATGTGTACTATGTAACCAAAGAAGAATAGATGGAGACCATCTAGACACATGTCCTGCTTTGATGGACATAGGAAATAAGATATTTGTAAATGAATATCTGACAAAATCTCATTTATACTGGGCAGCAAGATTTTGAATTGTCAAATGACCAACAACTTCGTCATAAGAAACAAAAATTACTTTGATAGACTTATTCTGTTTCCTGATGGTTCCTTGGGGTTTTGCTTTTCCTTCTTTCATTCAACCATATGGGCTGTCCACTTTAACGTGTCACTTACTGGAATGATGCTTACCTCACCATATATTTTATGTAATTTTGTATTTTTTCTTCTTGGGCTCACGATATCAGGACTGGCCCCATGATTTTCTTGAGAATACATCTTTTAAATCTTTCCACCGTCTATGAATCGTTCTTGTTTAGTGCCCTATACTCAAAGGTGTATGTCCCTACAGACCAAATAGTGTTTTATAAAAGACAATTTTTGTTTTATAATTCTCCATTTTACTTATAAGAAATTTGTCAATGACAAAGTCTGTATAATTTCCAGCCATAATTCTTCGTCTTATTCCATCTCTTTGATTCTGGCTTTCACTGATAAATGAGCAGAGGCATTCAAAGCTGTGGATGTATTGAAAAAGTATGCGTCCCTGTAACATAGCGATGGTATAGCCCTAACCTCTCTTTTCTTCTTAGTACAACAGTTCAGTCTTGTTTCTATTTATTTTTAATAATAAACTGAAGGTCTATGTTTTCTCAAAAGTTTTAGGACATTCACTTCCTAATGAAAAACTGATTATATTTGAAATACTTTTGAATTTTTCACCCTGATCAGTTGGTATACCTTTTTTTGACTAGCTACATTTTTGGTACAGATTGCAGTTACTTTGTTATTCTGGCTTTTTCTATTTGATTTAGTCTTTATGATTTTTTATGGTTTTTAAATTCCCAAATGTCTGATTATGAAGGACAAAACAGAAAAACCCTTAATTTATTAGCTTTATTATAGTCCCATAATCAAAGTATCACTCAAAAACTGTTTGGTTGTTTAAATTAATACTCTACTCTAAAAAAAAAAAAACTTTTTTTCTGATATTTTTATTGTACGAATGTAATAGAAATAATAAACTTAAGATTTTTCTTTCTTTTTTTTTAAGTTAAAAGTTGGCCATTCATGATGCCCTACCTTATACCTAAATACAACATAGTTGTTTCTGGTCAAGATACTCAAACTCAACAAAACCATTAATTTTAGATTGTTTGTGGGC